AAATAAAACGGAATTACTCTTTTTTATTTAATGGGAAAGTCAAGGATTATTAAAAAAGACACTTATTTCTATCAAAAAGCAGCAGTAGATGAGAAATACACCAAATGAGGTTTAAAGATTCCCGTTAAGTTCATAATGACAACCCACGGGTGAAATCAACCCTCAGAATTCTGGAAAAAAAAGATTTAAAATTTTGCATAAACTGGCAGAACTCCCCTAATATAAAAATTGTACAAAACCATGGGCATGGTGGGGTGATGCAGACAAAATCACCTCAGTCTCCTGGTTTACAGTAAAAGCAAGGGTTGCTCCCACCTGGATGCAGAGCTGTGGAAAAGAGCCCCTGAAAAGCTTTGGTGAGTATCCTCCGTTCCCAGGGCTCTTTCTTCAGCCAAAATCACACGAGTTTAACTGAAAATCTCTGTGCGATCCCTGCTGCTACTACCTGACTTGGAGGCAAGCCTTCTAAAGCTGAGCTTTAGATCCCTGTGGCAGTGACACACATGGGGCTCTGTAATGCTGCCTGCCTGAAGCTGACACTCCTCTGCTCAGCCCCACAACAAGATCAGAGCACAGCTGGCACGAGTGGCCCCAAAAGCAGCCTTTTGGTTCACACCATTTGCAAGATACCATCAACAGCCAGCCCAGGTACTGTTTAGCTGCTGCCCACACACAAATCAATAACAAGCAAGCTCATTCACACAGGTGATGCATTTTACCACCCTGAGAGCTGGGATTTTCTCCTACCCTTCATTTAATGCCACTGCTGTCAGATCTGTAACATGCTCTAACAAAACCAGCCTTTATGTAACCCAATAAATAAAAGTCACCAAGGCAATAGCTATGCATAAATTTTAGCTAAAAACATTTTGTTAGAAGAACATGAATGTCCTCTGTAAAGCAGGTAGCATTTTAAAATAATGTTCTAGACATTGTTAATACTTTATTGCTATTCATCATAGAACCATTAATCATGGTGAAACTCATTTGGTATTAATGTGGATGTCATAAAATACTTCTGTTGCATTTCAATTATAACTCAGCCTTTAAAATGCTGCCAGCACTACATGGAGAGCTTTGAAAGCCAAATATGAATAGTCTGTTCAGAGATAACTACAACTGCTTTCTGGCAGGGAAAAACAACCTTTTCCATTCCTAATGGCCCTCAGGGGGCTGAGAAGCCCCTGGGGCTGTGCCTGGGCCCAGGGCTGCAAGGAAGAGAGGTCATCCCGACCCAGGAATATTCCTCCCCCAAGATGAGAGTAGGAGAAACATTCTTTTGGTCTGTTCAATCAGGGCTAAGAGGAAGCAAGGCCAAACTTTCCAGGCCCTGGGAGATTTCATTTTTTCCCTATCACTCCTGAGATGCTCTGAGGCATTCCCTTACTTCCAGAGCTTGAGTGCTTGGGTTTTTCCTCTCATGTGCTGTGTCTGCCCAAACAAAAATACCAGAGAGAACTTGTATCTACAGCCTACTGTCTGTGGAAACTGTAAATGAATGCACAATACATCAGGGCAGATCCAAAGGGAGCTGATCTCCCAACCTCTCTGATAGCAGATAAAAAAAAACAAACCAAAATCCTCCTTCTTGGCCTCAGGAGGCACTGAAAGAGGAAAATCACCAGCACAAAATACAACATGGACTCAAACAAATATCAGCTCTCTGCCATCAGGGAAGCCAAGAACTTGTGTAAGTATACCTTGACAAACCAGAGCTTCCAGATGGATTTTACATACAGAATCCAAAGACAAAAGCTCAACAATCCCAACACTTCTCAACAGAAACAATGTTACACACTAAGAAAATTTAAAACTAAAAAGTTACACACTAAGAAAAGGCAAAACACTTCTTTTTAGCCGCAGGAACTTTTTTTCTTCTTTTCAATTCTTGCATATAATTCCCATTCTTTTTTATCCAGGTCATCAATGTAACAGGAAAGCATGCAGCAAGAATTCCTACCTTGGGAGCTCTGGCATGTTTTCCACATCTGGCATCTTTGACAAGGCTGATATCCAGCAGCTCAGTCTCCTAGAAGGAAAAATTGCAACACAAGTAATTATTATGCTATTCAGGAAGCCGTGTTGTGTTATCAGTGTCCCACTTCCCACATCAGTTTGTCCAAATGGAGATCAGCTTCTAGGAGAGCTCAGGTACACTCAGGCAATTCCAACAGCAACACTGTGCAGCTCTCCTAGGACCCATAGATTATATAGAAGCCATAAGAGTCAAGATGATTTCCTGGATTGCTGAACAGCAGCTGCTATGCTTTTGGTTTAATCCTTTTAATACAATTTTAGCATTTTGATGCTTGTCACAGTGTGACAAAAGGCAGTGTAAAAAACAGAAAACCCTGCCTTTGCAATAGAAAACCTGCTTTATTATTGCCAGAACACTTTGAAAAGTCCTCATAAGCCCCAAGAAGTGTTGTATCTATAATGATAACAAGGTTCAACAATTTTAGTGATTGCTTCTCAGTAAGACACATGCACTTTTTGACAGGCATTTCATAGCTTGCGTGCTATTCTTGACTTACGGGTTATACAACAAAGCTGGCACATCATGACATCTTCTGTTGGGCAAATTCTTGCCCTGCCCTACACACAAGTAACATGAAGAATCCCCTTTCTCTGAGCATTTGGAAGGAGGATGGATGCTGGAGAAGTGTGACTCCCAGCTGCCAGCAGCGATCTGAAACACTCCAGCAGGAGGGTGACCACACTGCAGGGACAGCCACACCATTTCCAAGCATTTCAGTCTTCCAGAGGAGTAACTGCAATGCTGTGCAGGGAACTTGAAATCTTTGTGCTGAACAAAGCCACTACTCCATTTCTTTTCAATTCCAAGGAGAAAAGGAAAAAAAAAATTAATGGACATATTATTTTGCCAAAGGTTACTTGGGATCCTGATTTGTTTTTCACTTTAAGGAACCTACTCTTACTTAGCTCTTGCAGAGCTTTGTCTTCTACTAAGGAAACTCTACCAACAAATTTTCATGTGGCTGTACATTCATCACATTTCCCTCTGTCCCCCCAGCAATCCCAATTCCCTTCTGTTCTAGTACTTGCTAAGCTCCATGAATATGTTTCCCCCCCTCTTCTTGGAGCCTGTTTAGAGGAAACTTGCACTTTTGAGATGTTTATTTTTTGCTCTCACTTGCCTGAGAGAGGATAAGAGTATAAAAACTTGCAGAACTTAGAAAGAAGCTTTGGCAGGGTGATAAAAGATGAAAATAACCTAAACTCCACCAATACTCAGGGCATATAGACACAAGCACTCTTCTGACAGTGCAGGTAAAACGTTAAATAAAAACAATTTACAAATAAGTGCACTGGAGGGCTTTGAGTCCTTTTGAGTTAATCCATAAGGCCATTAAGATACTGGCAGGAATGAAAACAATGGAATATGGCAGAGCTACACATGAGTTTATCACACTCAGAGCAAAAACTCAGGTGGGAAACAGGAGTTACATTTACAACACCAATAATACCCACACCCAGAGTGGTCTGAAGCCCATGGTGAAATGTTCCACAGAAGCTCCAGGCACGTGTAGATCATAAAAAACAGATTTCCCCAACTGAAAGGACTAAGAAGCACTAAAAATAAAGGCTTTAACAGCAAACACATGAGGGAAATTAAATATGCTGAAGAAAAATGGATCTTACAGATCACAGAGATGCTGAGCCACACAGTATGAATTTCAAAAGCTTTTATTTTTATTTGTCTGGTATTTTGGTTTTTAAAAAAAGAGAAAAACAACAAACAGAATTAGTCATTTAGTCACTTACAGAAGTGCAGCTAGACCTCCCGTGACACAAACACAAAAGGACCCTCTTAAGTGGAATAACACATACTAAAAAAGACAGGAAAAAAAAAGGAAAAGGCAATGACCAGCACTCCCACGGACCTGAACAACCCTGCCCACATCGGCATCCTCCCAGATGGATGAGGATGACCAGGTATAGGGCTGGTTTGGAGTTTTGACTACTGCTTTCAAGTTGCTTGCATGCCACCAAGCCATGTGCAGAATATGTGACCACCTGAGGATCCAAGAACTGACAGTGTAAGAGTAGGGGAAAGTGGAATTTTGTGCGGCTACTTGGCTCAGCCCAGCTGCCAGGGCTGTAGGAAAGGCTGATCCCTGAACAGGCACCTCATGGCCTTCCTGCCCTGTTACCTCTCTGGGAAAGAACACAGGATTTGTAATCCTATCCCCAGAATCCTTTATATCCATATTTGACAACATCATTTAATATAAGTAGATGAGAGCAGGACCTGCATCCATAGAAGTGCCTCTGCAGGCAGTGTTCAGTGGGGCTTGGATAAATCAAAATTCATAACGGCCCATTTCTTACTACTTTGGTTCAAAGGAACCTCCTGGAATTCCCTCACCCCAGGCACTTGCTTTCATCTTTTAAACAACTAATTAAGAGGGCAGAGATCAACTTCCTTGCAAGTCAGAGGAAATACAGTTTCCTATTTCCCTATTGCAAAATGTGGGGGGATTTTTGTAAAAGGAAAATACACTTGAGCAGTGGCTAAAGAAATGCCCCATTTCCTGTGCAGCAAAACAGCCCAAGCCCTCCTCCACCTAAATAAATAGGAGTTTTGTCAATTACTTCCTCCAGCCAGGCTTGGAAAATGCACTCTGTGTTGCAGGGGGCATGGAAGTCATAGCACCTGGGGGAGAAAGAAAAAATCCAAGCCCTCTGCAAGTTCAACTCTTCCCTGTTTAGAGAGCTCCAGTCATTGCTGCTGGGATTTAATCCTGCAATGGAGTAAAATCTCTTAATGCAAGTGGTAGATCCCTCCAATCATTCATAATATAAAAACTCTGGAGCAGTGAATTATAATTTCTAACATGTTTGTTTTCAATTAGCAGCCGAGACAGAAGTGCATTCAGAGAGGTCTGCATTGTGCAATCTCACTTTTATGGGTGCTTTTGTGAGTGCACACACTCACAAAAGCAATGGATTGTGCAAGCCTCTATGTCTGCTTGAGCACTTGTAATTAGGCCCATCTGAATTTAATATAATAACACCAATTTATACCAGCTGAGGATCTGGCTCACTTCTATTTTAAACTGCCCAAAATGATGCCGACTGAGTCATGGTGCCTTGGGAATATGTTTGTGACATAACCCCAGCTACAAAGCAGGAATTCTACTGGATACCACTGGAGAGCTCTCCTGGAGAGCCAGCAGCAGCAGGGCGGCCTGAGAGCAAGATCAACTACAGAATCTCCCAAAACTGTGTCAAGGAGACCCAGCAAGAGCAGGTGGGCATTGCAACAGCTGCACGGGTTAGTCCAGAGAGATATCTGCCTTATAGACATCCTTAACACAAATAATTCCACTCTTCTGCAAGCCTTCATTGTGGTTCAGGTGTATTGCTCTGACCTCAACTGTTCAACCTCTGTTTTCATGTCCCTTCTGGCTGGATGTTCTTTTTTCCCCAGTGTATGGCACAGCTCTCAGCCAGTGCCACTTAGGGAGAAGGTCTAACCAATTAAACTCTGTAAACTCATTTTCCACTTAGCTGGAAAACCTGTGGCTTCACAGTTTCAAATCTGAAGAAGAAATTGTGTGCCTGAAAGCTTATCTAATTCTTCTAACTATTACCAGTCAGTCTACTACAAGACACAAGACTGCCTTCGAAGTTTGCTTCATACACTGCTAGCAAAATAAACTTCAGAAAACTAAACCAGTTTTCTAAACAAGCACCATTTATTGCTACTGGATGGCAACATCTGGTCAAAGTTTTCAAAGGGGCAAAGCCAATTTGCTGAAACAAACTTCAAACAGTCAAACTACTTTCTATTGGGAATAGCTAATCAAAATGAAATAGTGCTTTAATATTGAAAGTCCCTGTTTTATCATTCTCTGAACACAAAAGCATGGAATATCTCTGGAAGAAAAAACATATGCAGTTCTGTGCTATACTTATTTTTATTCAGCATTTTAAAAATGCTATTTTAAATAAAACCACATGACTACTGGCCTAACAACATGACAGAAAGAAAACATTAAGAACAATACTTGAATCTGATGAGGAGCAATTACAGAATCAGAGAATAATTTAGGTTGGAAAAGACCTCTGAGATCCCCAAGTCTGACCTTTGACCAAATACCACCATGGCACCAAGTGCTATGTCCAGGCTTTCCTTAAGCACGTGCAGGGATGGTGACTCCACCACCTCCCTGGACAGCCCATTACAATGTCTAACTACACTTGCTGTGAAGAATTTCCAAGTTACAAAGAAATTCCAAGCTATGCTAAAGATCTACCTTAGGTAAATAGGTATGGAAATTCATCCATTTACAGCCACTTATGGAATATACCTCGCTTAGGTTTCAGGGATTTGGATAGTGATCCATCAACCACACTCGGATTAACTCCAGGATGAATTTCTCTACAGTGGGATTGAATACTTAGTGCCTGTTCCAAAAGGATGCTTGAAGAGCTAGGGGATGTCACGTACCATTCCCCTGCTCAGAACATACCTATTTTTCTTTATTATCAATGAGAATAAATTGAATGAAACATGGCAATTTGTCTCCTCATCCCAAAGGAAAAGTGTGGAGGACTGGTGAGACTGATTTAACAGAAACCTGCACCGACAGCTACAAATAGGAGCAGCAAGGTTGTCAATGACTGTAACTGGAGCTGTGCTAAGGTACTGCTGTGCTTCCCCAAAAGTGCCATTATGTAATTTATAAGCTGTATCCCACTAGAGAGAAACAGTCCCTGAAGAAGCTTTCTCCATACTTCCTCCTGGCAGCACACAATTCAATTATCAGGCATTAAAATGATGGGCTGTGTCAATAAGGCAGCAGCAGAGCAGCACGTACACCTCACATCAACAGGAGAGCTCTCCTCAACAACAGCAAAGTCTTTTGCTGCACAGTTGTCCTTCACAAGTTCAAAGTACTTTGTCACCTTCCCAAACACTCTTCTCAAAGAAAAAAATTAAAAATTATATTAATGCTAAACTCACTAGCCTGCCCAAAGCAGCCAGACTACCTTCTAGCTCCTTGCAGATGATGAAAAAAGCAGCAGCGAGGCACACAAATGACAGAACAAAGGCTCTTACTCCTAGAGCAGCCACTGACATCTCAAGGGTCAACTAAACTCACAAAATTTTAACTTGGTTAAAGTGGCTTCTGAATTCTCTGCATTCTAAACATCTATTACAAAATCCAAAGCCCAAAACAAATCCACCACCCTGGCATATTAAATGAAAATTTGGATGAGAGGCACAGCTGTTCATGAGGGGAAACACAGCAAACACTGCTGCCTCCACTACTTTACTCAAAATCACTTCTTTTCAAGCTCTTCCTTTCCGGCCAACGAGCACTGGCAGAAAATCACCGCAGCCTCATCTACGTCAGGCCCATTGCGAGTGCAAGGCTAGGCACGGTTCACCACACACTCCTGGGAATTTCCAAAGCCCCAGAGAGCAGAGTACAGAAGAGGGGACCGTGTGCCATCAGCAGCTCCCCATGGAGATGGGGAGGCATTGCTGCCATTTGCTCTGTTACCTGCGGTGGCAGGGGACATCTCCTGAGGCAGGGAGTGATGGAGAAAGGGCAGAGATGTGCTCCTCTTACACAGAACAGCAGCTTGGAAAACAATAAGAGATGGGCTTTAAACCCTGGTTTGACCACATGGCTCCCTAGACCTGGACAGTCTTTCTGAACAACTGGCAGAACCATGGGTTCGGTATCACAGAGAATGGAAATTTTTCAAAATACCACTTGAAGAATGAGAACAGAATGATCTCTTAATACCCAAAATGTATTTTCTGTAAATTTGAACTTGTGCTAATCTTTACTGGGTGGTCACTATAATTCTTTATTCAAAAAGACTTGGGGGACCTCAGCAAGGCAAGAACCAGCATTTATTATTTGACTCAACTGCTCTGGGAATGAGCTCTAAACACCTTGAAAGGTTTGCTGGCATTTCAGGAAGAACCTCCAAGCAGAGTTGCATGACATCCCTCCTGCAAGGCCCTTACAGGAAGCATTCCTATGGAAAAACAAGTCTCAAACTGAAAAGTTTTAGCTATCTTAACACAGAATCTCTCAATGTATCCCTGGAGTTGTAAGAACAGCAATATTTTCTAGTACAGGGAAAATTATCTGCAGTTTATATAAAGCATAAAACATTGAGCTATTAGGACAAAAATTAGAGGGAATTTTCATTCTAAGTACCCTTTTAATAATGAAAGCGAAACAATTCTTCTGCAGTTATGCATAGAGTTCTTTGATGCTTCACAAAAGGAACATTTCATTTACTTGGATTTACAGATGCTGTGGCTGAGCAGTCTAGAAACAGGCACAAAGATTTAACAATACAAATCTTAGACCGGAAGCAGAAGAACACAGCAAAGATTTGCTGCCTGCCTTCATCCCAGCACTGACCATCACGAATAGGCAAAGGACACAGAGAAGACTCAGTGTGCTATGATCAGCCATCATCCCTGGTGTTAGAAGCAGTGCACTGGAAAAAGAGGAAATTGCTATACCAGGCAAGACTTCAGCCATTCATCAGTCTCAGCCAACTGATGCTACAGTCCAGTCCAAAGTCACCAGTGTTGACAGGGTATAAGCTCAGCTTGGTATATAAAACACTTCCCCGTCAGTCAGTGTCAGTACATACTCCAAAAAACCAAGCCACAATCCTTAATCCCACAGCCTCAACATACAAGACAATCAGTGAATGAAAGAAGCAATGGGTTTGTGAAGTGACCCCCAGCAGGACAGAGGCAAACAATGGCAAAGCTGGAGAAGTACCTCCCTACCCTAATCCCACACCCATGAACATGGCATCTCTTTATCCCAGTGCTGCTAGTGCCAGTGCTCTCTCTTTCCAGGAAAGACTCCACCACAAGAACACTCCAACCCAGAAGTTTATCATCTAATAAACTTGGGTTTGTTAGAGAAATGCAGTGGGAATTGTATGGACAGGAACACCTTGAATGTACCCGGTTGGAACTGGTTTGGATCTGCTAAAATTGCTCTCTCACCGTTGCCCGTCCCACTCACACAGGCAGGGAAGAACAGGAGGAAAAGGAGAATTCATGAAGTGCAGCCATACTCAAAAATTAAAAGAGCTGGGGGAGGACCTGCTCCAGAAGAAAGTACAAAAGCACCTTGTAAGCAGCCTTCATAATGGTACTTGACTGATTTTTATTCACATAACTGAGAATAACCTGCCAATTTGTAGCTTTAGAGTCACAAGGAAGAGTACAGTGAATTGAAGTTTAAGCAGTATATTAAAAAACAAAAAAGCAATATTTCTATTAAGAACTTTTTTCTTTCAAATCACAACTCAAAACATGCATGATTATGATGATTAAATGCCTGCCAAGAAGGGATCTATCATATTTTGGGGTGATGTTCTCATGCCATTATTTCCCACTCAGAGATTGTTTTTACCTTTGAAGCAAGTAAAATGTATTATTTTCAACAGAGTGCCCCAAACAGTGAACAACAGGAACAGAGACTTTCACCCCACCAGTGGAAAACCACTGCACAACTCTTGCTCTACCACACGTGACAGTGCAGCTCCTCCTCGGGAAAATCTGTCCATCAAGCAAAAGGTTTTCCCAAGACTGAATGAGATTCAAGGCTTTTGAACTTTAGAAAAGCCCTTTTTTAAATGTATGCAGCATAAATTGGAGGCCTCTAAACAGATATCAACAAATTAGTGGCTCTGGCTGTTTGATTTTGGAAGCTACTTCAGCAAGTAAGGGTGTTTTTGGCAGAACTCCACTGCTCTGGAGTAGTTCTTCTGACTAGTTGGGTTTTGTGGAGGGGTTTGGAGACTGCACATTCGTGTCAACAGCACAGAGCATTTGGCTTGCTTGTATTAAAACTATAAATGCTTTTTACAGATCTAAATGTAACACAATTGGGAGATTAGGACCTTGGAGTTCCTCTGCTCCCCACAGAATACAGGGGGTTTTAATATTAAGGCACAAACACAGCAATCCATGCCCTACTTACATGCCTGCCACTTCCATGCAAGGATAAAGAGAATCAACTAAAAACTGTATGGAAGCAGAATGTACATCCCTGCCAGCTCCTCTAGCTACAGCACTGGCATGTGTTACTTAACTGGAAAATCCACAGTCCAGGCACAATTCCAGCTGGGGACTCCAGCTATAACATGCTGCTTGAGCATTAACAACAGCAGCTGAAAACCTGCAAAATCTGGAAACTGGAAAGAATCTAAAACATCTACAATTTCAGAAAAGGGAGGAGAAATAACCCCAGCAGCTGCATGCACATTATTGTGTTAGGAAAGCTTTGGATGAGATGATAAAAGGAGTATTAATCACATGAAGGTAAAACAACAAAATAATAAGAGACAGCATGAGCTTGCTGGCCAGATCATACCTAAACTTCTAATTTTTCTTTTTTCTCCACACTGGAAGCTTTTAATATCTTCTCTGCCGGAATTTTGATCCATGACTTGAGCTGGAATTGGCAAGTCATCATGCCAAACTGCACCAGTACTCTGAGGTGAATTTAACCTGAAGGAGCTACAGAGAAGATTCCAGAAGTAATCACAGAAGCCAGCATAGGTTCTTTATAGAAGAGACTCAGGATCTTGGCTTCCACCAGACAGCTAAGAGCGGGATGATTATTGTCTATAAATGCATGCATTGTGTAATCAGCTGAGAGGAAGAGGAGCTATTCAATCTAGAAAGAAATAAGTATTGAGTTATATGGATTCTAATAAGTGTGGGCAAAATTAGGACTATTTTTCTTTAGAATTTGAAAGCAAAAATCGCTTTTAAAAAGGGGTTTGAGATGTGTTTCTGAATACTAATACACGCACTACACAATATCCATAAACATAGAGCACAGAAAATGTTTTTCTACAGCAGTGATCTAAAGGAACTGTATTTATTTACAGCTAAATCTTTGCATTCTCACCACTCCAACCACCAGGCAGCTTTATCTACAAAGTTACCATTGGATAGTTCAGAGAGTAATTCATTAAATGCTAACTTGTAAGTGACCTATCCGGCAAGTGTTGATACTCCAGAAATTTCAGAGGAGATTTATACTTCCAGGCTCCTTATATGAACATCAGAAAAAGGCAGCAGAAGCTGCACAGGCAGACGGAAAAGCTTTTCCCAGCCAGATCCTCGACTGTGGGCTGCTCTTAGGGAGGATGAAGCACACAAAGAGCATCAGCTGAAGGTGTCCACACACCCCAAAGATATGAGAAACCTGCAGGTGAGGGCACAACAGCTCTGTAAGGAAGCATTGGTTTGTTCTGAGGGGAATCCTACATTGCTTCTTCAAAACGCACAGTGCAGGAGCTGAGCAACAATTTTCCATGCTCTTCTCCTTGTGCTCATTCCATCCTCCCACAGCCCCTTTCACTTCACCTGCTGCTGCCACACTTTAATTTCCCTTATTACCTCAATTTGTTGCTTACCTTGTAAATATAAGTGAGTTTAAAACAGTTACTTGTTCAGTGTTTATTAGGGAATTAATTAGAGGGGAGTAAGAATTTCTTGCTAATTTATTCTTTACAAGCTGTAATCTTTATTATTTTTACATGCTGTCAGGGTTTATGGATAAGTGCATCTTAAAAATCAAAGCAAAAAAGAAAAAGAATCCCCACACCAGAATCAGTGGGTGAATCTCTACAGATTTAATTTACATTCATCTGCTATTAATCTGAATGCATAATATTCTTCACTATTATTTTATAAATCTCTAGATAGAGCTAGGAAATTATTTTTATTGAAGTATTTGCATGCGCATGCCTCAGATTCTTTTTGTCTTGGCAGCTGTGCCTGAAATTGGAATTTACACTGAATGAGGAAATACGGGTCATTCTGCAAACACAACAGAGATGAAGTCAATGGCAGCTTGTTGGAAGACCTTGAATTCTTGCCAAGCCACGTTTCCCAAAATATTTTGCCCTACACCACACTCAAGCCTCAATTACCAGCTACTCTCTCCTGCAGGAGCCAGCTGCTCTGAGCATCAAAGGCACGGACACAGAAGAGAACCAAGTTGTAATTCAGCAAAAAACCTGTAAAGATGGATGATTACCTCTTCTTATCCTTCATCAAACTGAAGAAGACACTTTTCTTAACAGGGACTCACTTTAGCCTACACCTGAGGTGTGCCAATAGTTGCATTACACTCAGCATACTCCAAACTTTGCATTTTATTCCTTCCCTGAATCCAACAGTGGGGCTGTTACAAGACAGGGATTTTTTGCTAACTGTGCCTTGTTGGCAGCACAGACACAAGAAGATATTTTCCTCTCCTATCAGGGCACTCTTTGGCTCTTTCCTGTTTATATTTTCTCCTACTATGTGGAACTAAAAGCAAGGCAGCAAACCCAAGGCTAGCCCCGCTGTCTAATGATGTTTCTTTATTTAGCAGCTTGTTTGACTGCAGTTGCCGTTTTCTCCCCCCAGAAATATTCTCAGTTTTGTTCTCTGGGGCGTAATTATTCCAAGTACCTTTCCCCCAGCAGCAGCACACCAAGACTTCTTGACTTTGCAAAAGGAAGTTCATGTTCTTGAAGGTGACTGAAACATGACTTGAGGAAAGTATTGAAGGACTCAATCCTGGCAGAGAAATGCTAAAGGAGCAGAGGACCCAAATACTTTGCAGGTCCCCCAAGCTTCTATGAATCATAATTTTTAAAAACATCAAGGGCATTTTTCACAGCACAACCAAACTGCAAGCCTGAAGGGCATTTGAAACCCAAACACACTGATTTGGATCCATTTGTATCTCATATTGCCAGAAAAATTGTCTTGCTTTTCCAGTGCTCTCCCTGACATGACCTGGATGTCAGCTCTGTATTTCTTTTCCAGACTTGAACCATTCAGCATAAAATAATCCTACTGGATGATTGCCTGGGCTGGGGTGGGTTGTTCATTATTATTCTTAATGTAGCAGCCAAGGTGATTTCACCAATTTCCTCAAATGAAGCTGCAATTTCTGAAATCAGGCACATCTTAGTGAAAGAGATGAATGGGAATCAGAAATGCTTTGGGAAATGGTTCATGCATGCTGTAAAATACCATCTACCTCTTGTATGTGGGAAGATCTAATGCCTTCCTACTTGGAAAAATACCTTTGGATTTCAACAGTCAGTAAGGTTGTCACTACCACATCTGTGAAAATACAGCCAAGTTTGGACAGGCTACTGAAACATCTCCTTTCACACACAATGAACTTAAAAACCCAGAATATATATGCATGCTGTTATTCTCAAAATGCATAAGGGAAATTAAATGCTTAATCTAGCATTTCACAATATCTAAGTAGTTAAGCTTTCAGCTTAAGTAATGTCTTAACAAGTGTCTTGTTTCTTTCTAAATAAGATTTCATGTGTAATGAAATTATCATTAGGAATCAAGGGTATGATTTAGCACATCTTTCAAAGCAGACTAGGCTGCCTCCAGAATAACACCAAAAAGTGTTATTACTGAATAAAAAGCAGGATAGTTGGGGGGAAAAAAGACTCTCACGCTTAGAAAAATAAATGTTTTTTCTGTAATTACGTAGATTGAGAAACAGCTATTTTTGTCAACATCTTCAAAGAGACTACTCAAGTAAAGGAAAGTAAACAGAGGAAAATTAGGAAAGCAACTTTTTGGTTTTTTCCTCCCAGAAAAATGATGGTTTGAAAAGCAACAATGAGACAACAAATCTACTTAGGAGAACAAGGAGAACAGTGCATGGGTAGAGGCTGGGGTCAGTGGCATCACCAACTGTGATTTTAGTCCATGGACATGTCAGATCAGGATTTCACTGATAAGAATTTAACTGCAGCTTGCCACCCTCACAAATCCCTCCGACTACACACAGCTGGGCTGGCTGTAAGTCAGGACAGGAGGAGTGATGACATAAGGCACTCATAATTAGAACCTGGGTGACAGCTAAACCCTGTAAAAGACACATGGTCAGGGAGAGAGCAAATAAACAGGAACTTGCTAGAAGGTCATGTCTATGTGGTTTGTGGTCAACCCTTGCAGCCTTATAATGACAATTATGATATTTGGGGTTCTACTTGGTGATTTTTTTTCCTATTGCTGTTTGTGAGCCCAAGCTC